GTCTTAACACCACTTCGGCAGAAAAACTAAAAATTTGACTCAAAACGTTGTCTCAAGACCACTTTGACAGGATTTGTTTGAACCAAAGCGTGTCTCAATATCACCGGGTGTCTCAGCACCACTTTGAGCCCAGATCGAGCCAAAAGGTGGTTTTGACACCACTTCGACAGAAAACTAAAAGCTTGAACCAAAACGGTGTCTCAAGACCACTTTGGTAGGACATCCAAACAAATTGAACCCAAGGGTCTCAACACCACCGGGTATGTCAGCACCACTTTGGGTCCAGATCGAGCCAAAAGGGTGGTTTTTAACAGCACTTCGGTAGAAAACTCAAAAAACTTGAGGCCAAAACGGTATCTCAAGACTTTGACAGGAAATCCAAACAAATTGAACCAAAGGGTGTCTTCAACACAACCGGGTGTCCCAGCACCACTTTCAGACCAGATCGAGCCAAAAGGTTTTTACACCACTTCGGTGGAAAATTCTAAAACTTGAGGCCTCAAGACTGCTTTGACAGGAATTCCAAACAAATTGAACCTTCAACAGAACCGGGTGTCCCAGCACCACTTTGAGACCAAATCGAGCCAGAAGGGTGGTTTCAACACAAACTTCAACCAAAAGGGTGTCTTAAGACCACTACACGAACCCAAACAAATTGAACCAAAGGGTGTCTTAACACCACTGGGTGTCTTAGCAGCACTTTGAGTCCAGATCGAGCCAAAAGAGTGGTCTTAACACCACTTCGGTAGAAACTACAAACTTGAACCAAAAACGGTGTCTCAAGACCACTTTGATAGGAAACCCAAACAAATTGAACTAAAGGGTGTCTCAACCATTACCGGGTGTCTCAACACCACTTTGAGTCCAGACCAAGCCACATTTCGGTAGAAACTTAAGCCGAAACGGTGTCTCAAGACTCTTTGACAGGAATTCCCAGCACCATTTGAAGTCCAGATCGAGCCAAAAGGGTGGTTTTTAACAGCACTTCGGTAGAAAACTCAAAAAACTTGAGGCCAAAACGGTGTCTCAAGACTTTGACAGGAAATCCAAACAAATTGAACCAAAGGGTGTCTTTAACACAACCGGGTGTCCCAGCACCACTTTCAGACCAGATCGAGCCAAAAGGTTTTTACACCACTTCGGTGGAAAACTCTAAAACTTGAGGCCTCAAGACTACTTTGACAGGATTCCCAACAAATTGAACCTTCAACACAACCGGTGTCCCAGCACCACTTTGAGACCAGATCGAGCCAGAAGAGTGGTTTCAACACAAACTTCAACCAAAAGGGTGTCTTAAGACCACTACACAAAATCGAATTGAAAGAAATTGTGACATATGGCGAAATCCTGCAAGATCATATACATGTTATATGATGAAATCCTGCAAGAGCATATATAAGAGAAGATAAAATAGATCTTTGAAGCAAGTTATGAAATTTTGGAAAATCCTATAAGATCGCATATATCAGAGAAATATCGATTTATGCAAAATAAAAAGTCAAATACGAGAAATAATGAACAGAAGAATCCTATTATCAATAAAAATAAATAGAAGAAACCTTTCATCTGACCTAAAAAGTAAATTAAAGAGACCTTTCATATTATCTAAAAAGTAAATTAAAGAGACCTTTCGTATTACCTAAAAAGTAAATAAAAGAGATCTTTCGTATTACCTGAAAAGTAAATAGAAGAGACCTTTCGTATTACCTAAAAGTAAATAGAAGAGACCTTTCATATTACCTAAAAATACATGGAAGAGACCTTTCGTATTACCTAAAAAGTAAATAAAAGAGTCTCTTCCATTATCTAAACCCTAACTCAAAAAAATACAAGCGAACCAGAACTCCAAGAAGCATAGCTAAGACCCCCGACCACACGGGACCCCAATTAAATTAGACTTCCAAGAACCTTCGACCCCCGACCACGCGGGACCCCGTACCCACTATTTTAATATTTTATTCGAATATATATATATTGATATTTTCATGAGATTACGATTTTTAATAAAATATATATTAATTAAATGTGTCTGTTAATTCTATTTGTTATCTATCTCTATCTATCTTTGTCTCTATCTGATTAATTACCTGGATCGTTATTTCTCTATCTGTGGGATGGATCCATCTATCTATCTATTGATATATATTTCAATGATAAAGGGACTTATGGCCCCTTTTCGCGTTGTTAGAAATAACAAATATTTTAATGGGGAAATGATTTGTTGTCTCTTTTCTTCTTGGAAGCAGCGGGTCCGCTCTAGTATTTTATAAATCGCTACGTGCTTGTGTTGTTTTCGGATTTGTTCGACGATTGGCCATGCCAAATTAGGAAAATCTCGGTGGTTTGGGATCTTGGCCGACTATTTTGAAAATTGAATGCGAATTGTTAATATACCGGACATTTTTGAAATATTGCATATAAATTCTTTGTAATTTTCGAGATATTTTTCGAGTAATTTTATTTTATGTCATATATTGAATCATATTATATCGTCTCGATAAATATTTGAGAGGAATGTCGTGAAGGGATGAATAGAATATTGGCGGAAAAATTAGAATATGGAGAATTCTTGTATTTTTTCTTGCTATCTTTTTTCATATTTCGGGGCGGGGAAAAATTCAAACACAAAAATAAAATGATAAAGATAATTAGAGAGAGATAGAAAAGAAGATTAAAAAGAAGAGAAATTAAGAAAATGGAGAAAAGTTCAGAAAGAGAAAAGAAGAATTCAGAAATAAAGATAACAGATAATTAGGAAGAAATATAATAATAAGAAATAAAGATAAGAAGGAAGGTCCAGGGGAATAATGCTCGGACAGGGGGGAAATGACTTAGAATAAAGGGATAATTGAAGAAATATTTATTTTTTTCCATTGATTTATATCTGGAGAATAGATCTCGAATAATTAAATGATTTTATTGAAAAATTGAATCAAATTTATATGAGTAATATTTTATTTTTAAATATATTTTTAATTCAAATATATGATAAAATTTCAAATTCATTATAATATTCGATCAAATTTTTTTTTAAAATATTTCTTGCCTCGTAGAGATCGTGACATGGGCTAGTCTCTATAAGAAATTTTTCGTATGATATTGATTTATTTATAGATTTAAATTCAATTGAAATAAATTATATTAAAAAAATCATTCCAAATGAAAAATATTATAGTAAAAAATTTTAATTTCTAACGAAATTATTTTCTATAAAAGAATATTTTATATAATAATAAAATAGAAATAAATCATATAAAATTATAATAATTGAAGTTATGAATTTCGATAAAATCATAATTTCAATTCAATATTAAAAATTCATATAATTTCATCAGAAATTATGAATTTCGATAAAATCATAATTTCAAATAAATATTAAAATTCATACGATTTAAATTTTAATAGAAATACAATACATCTATTAATTTTATTAACGATATATCTAGGAATTATTTGCGAAATCTTAGTCTCGCGACTTTTTTATAATATTTATTTCGCCACAGGGAAACACATACGATTTTTAGAAAATAATCAATTTGTTTTTCGATATTTTTATTTTCTTTATAGGTTAGAACGAAATTAGAGTCCATTCTAAAAATCTTATTTCTATAATCTTTAGAAAATCTAAAAATTTTAATATAAAAATATAGAATCATATCTTTTCAGAAATCATGGCAATAATTCCCAAAGTCAACAAATATAAAAAATATTTATTCAAAAAGATCGATTTTAATACGATTAAATTTATATGGAAATATATATATAAGAATTTTCACAAAGCGGCATTCATATAAATCATAATTTCTAGATCAAAATTCATACTCGTCCGAAAATACGGCTTCCCATAAAATATTTTCTATTTAATATTTTTCAATATGTAAATATATAAGAATATCATCAATCGAATTAGCACGAATAAATATAGAAACCAAGCATCTTAATCTATTTCTTTATATATATTTGCCCATACGATTCTCCTTCTTCCATCTCTCCAAGACACTACCCACGAATCCCACGGCCTCCCATATAACTTATATTTCCACGCTCCAACCTATAATTATACTATCTATTCGATAATATAGTAGATATAATATATCTAGAAAAATTTATCATATTAGAATAAATATACTACATAAGCCATATCCATAATATCTACCAAATATCCAATTCCTCTTTCTAACATTTAATTTCGATAATATCTACTATTAATCGGAATAATATGAAACAAAAGCTAGAATCTAAAATACTATTAATGGAAAATATCGTAGTATAAAATATTGTATTGCCAAAAAAATTCATATAATACCAAAATTTTGCTCTTCAGAATTATAGGCATATCGTAAAATACGTTATCTAATATACCAAGTTTTCAGGTATCATCCTCCGTGAGGGATCCAATATAAAACCCTCAAAGTCGCTTTCTAATATGTTAGAATGGAATCTAAAAGCATTAAATTCGGAAAGTTTAATTTATACAATAATTAGTTTTATAGGATAAGTATCTGCCTCCAATTCTCGTCAATCAAGATTCATTTTTCGAATTTTTTTCAATTCATTACCAATGTTTTGGCAATGGTGGCTCGTTCATCCGCTCCGTTGGGTGCTCTCGATCGATCACAGCACCTATTCCCTCTTTCGACGTTTCGCACTTGCAGGGGCTTCTTCGCCTTGACAAGCTGCTTCATGGCCCTCTTTCAGGTCGCACATGGCATCCAAATCCTTTGCGGTTTCCGAAAGTCATTCCCGAGAATTTGTGGCAAATACGTCGCCTACATTGGCAGAAGTACTCCCTGACATGAGAACGAAAGAGTTGCGTGATTCGTTGCCGCAGCTTCATAAGAACCTTTAACAAAATTCTAGAGTCTGAGACCTCAGAACCGCTTTTAGATTAACGAAGGTTCCGTGACTGCCCCAGAAGACAGCTGCCGGGCCTTGTGTGAAAGTAGAATCCGCAGGTCATCAGTTGGAAGTCCATTCCACGGAACAACGTCTTACTGAATGATGGTACGTTTGCTTGAGATGCCCGAAGTAAATGCCCTTTGTCTTTCCGTCAACAGAAGCCGGTTGTTCCGGAGACTAAACACACCAAATGCACGGCAACAAAATGGTCTAGCTGACTTAGAAGCTACTGTAACCAGCTTAACGGCAAGTCATTCCGCTGAGTGCATGTAATGTACAGCAAGCCATGGGGGAAACACATTCTACTTGCCGAAGGCACAAGTCCTGAAAATCTGAATTCAAACAAACAAAGCCTCACAAAGCCGTCTCCGCAGCATCGGACCCCCCGGAAAGTATCGGAGCCCCAACTGCCGAATTCTTGTATCTTCGTCCAGAGCTCTGCTGCGATAGCCTCAAACGCAGCCTTGCCTTGGCTCGGCAGGTGGCGTTGTTCTTAAGCGGGGGTTTGTTTATATAGGCTCTCCGAATTACTTGCGGACAGCCTCATTCCGTCATGAAGAGCTGAAGATCCAACAGAGCGGCTAGTGTTCGGCTGATTGTGCGTGTGTGTTGAGGAAGACACAGCATACCGTTCGAAGCGGGCCGAAGATCAAAGATTCCGAAGGAAGTTGTGACTGGAACCGGGGCCAACGGGCCTGCATGGGACCATCAGTGTTCTGTGCCACCTCGACAAGTAGAAGATCCGAGCCTGAAGTTGAACGTGCCGACGCACGTAATATTCTCCTGCCTACTGTGCAGGCATGCCGCAGTCGCCGCGGAATGCATCACCATGGGCATAGCAAATGATGCCTCGCTGTGACCGCGAGGATGTAGCGGAAGAGCTGAAACGAATATCGGCATTTAATTTTGCGTGGGACCGTCAAGAACAGTGTGGGTACGAAGATGTGAAAAGTGCGCAGGCACGAACGACTACCTTGTCAACCGAGATGACTAGTTGTCAGTGACTTGTTGGGGTGTGTTCTCTGGACTGTCCACAGCTTCAATGAATAATGATTGCAAAGCTGTGTCCCCATCGGCTGCGCAATCACACTTTGGCATGGGGATGCTGCAGCTGTCATCTTTCCATCTTTCGAGGTGCCCGAAGCTGTAGCCGAAGCCAAGGAGCTTATGTTCTGCTGTGCCAGCTGGACATAAAACTTTGCCACGCGCTTGCGGTCATGGAGGAAGAGCCTGGGCTCTGACTCTCAAGTCCCAAGCCCTGAACCCCCAAAGCAGCAACACCTGATGTGGCGTGAGTGGCTCAAAGTAATGAAGCTCCTCCTGCTTCCGGGGAGCTTACCCAAGCGACCCACCCGAGGGAAGCCTCCTGGCAGTGGACCAGAGCCGAAGACCCAGGACATGAAGCCTCTTCAATGCTGTGCACTCAAGGCTTTTTGGTTGCTGGGCATGAAGCGTACGTATCTCTCAGGCTTAAGATGCAGAGAGATCAAGCGCTTTGCCAGATTTGTGCCTCAAAGGATATGAAGCTTTGGTTTTTGGGTTTATAGGGTGCAAGGCTTCCGTGGTTCAGGCTGGGCTTTGCGGCGCTTTCAATACCCGGGCTTGGCTTTCCGAACAGCCACTCGTTCTAGGCATTCCTGCTTCGCAATTTCAGCCCCTGCGCAATCACGGCCTCCTTTGTGCACGGATCAGCCAATAAGCAACCACATATCGAATTTTTGTGCAGTCCCTGAGCCCCAAACTCAGACTCTCCCACCCACGACCTGGGTTTGTGCGTAGCAGCATGTCGCAAACGTAGTACGCCCGAGTGCCATCAGCAAGCTTCAAGGTGTAGTAGTACCTGACTTACAATTGGTAATTGCGACCTGCTGCTATTCAGACACATACACGCAGTCACGACGACTTCGATACAAGCTAGATAGCGGCACTTTGCTGCTGCCACTACGGCAATGATATTAACGCAGACATTTACTGATATACCCAGGTAGTTCACCTCAACATCACCATCATCATCGTCATCATTCGGTGAACTGCATTTTGTTTCATTACCAGGCTTTCCTTCTAGAACCACGCTTACTGCCATATTTGGTGCTCTGCACCCTGATCCCTACGAGTACCTCTACGTCGTATATGCCATCATACCATGGCAGTAATGAAGAAGATGACGCCTCGATGAATGGCGGCGATGATGATTAATGATGGCAGTCGTCCAATGCCGAACCCCTTCCAGCTGTTCTCGTTCATCTTTTCATGCAAAAGTTTGCCAGAACCATGGGATCACTACTGCATGCCAGAAACCTCGCCTGGCCCAGAATGAGGGTGCTTTGAACACCGATGTGAGAGCATGCCCCACAGATTCCGAAAAGAAGCACGCCACTCGCCAGCTTGCAGGCTGCAGAGCAACACGTTCCCGATTTGCGATGCTGCTTACTCTGAAGAGCCTTTGCTTCCCCCGGCATGACTATCTACTATCCCTGTCCTACTATCATCACCATACATCAACCTGTCGACTCTCGACCGTCATCGCGCCACGAGGCAGCCTCGAAATACCATCATGTAATTCTGATTGTGTGATCATCTCAATCGTCTACTTCAGCTGCGGCCGCAACGTTATCTTCACAGGCCTATGCATTTGAAGGGGTCGGTCTCCAGGAAGTTTCGCAAACAGAAGGATGCTTGGCGGTGTGGGCATTGTGGCTGGAAGATTCACCTTTTTCCTTTGGCCGCTGCAGTACTTGTCTGACTATTCTCCACACCTGTCTCTTGAGCAAAGAACCTACAATACAGCCTCGTACAGGTAAAATGCCATCCCGACGACGATAATTATATATGTCTCGTCTGCAAAAATTCCGCGTGCATTCTCATCACGGACGCAATGGAAAACATTGTTTAAGCCAATTCTGCCCACCATGGACAAGGTCTGGCATGAACAAAACCATTGACTTTGAGTTGGAGTTGAGCTACGACGTGAATTGAAAAACACAACGCTGGCTAAGGGGCCTGGTGAAACCCTAAAACCTATGTACCTCAATTTGTGAAAACCTGTACGGGCTGGTAGATTGCCAAGCCGTGTGTCAAATGTGCTGTCCGGCTGCTCGAAGACCTCTTCACTGTTCAGATTCCATCCGTCTATGGCCTGGACGGTTGGATGCTTAAGGCAGCATTCGTCGCATTCGCTTGGAGAGACGCCGTGAAAGGCCCCAGCAAAAAGACCTACTTCGGAGACGTTTTACGTTCAGGTCTTTTGGCCAGACCTCTTCGTCAGAGGAGTTTAACACCCAAAAAACCCGCGGAACTTCGAAGCCTGTGCCCGAAACAAGTGCGGCCCCCTTGCCAATGGAACAGCAACTCCCAGCTGTGACAGCGTCGCCCGGTGCCAGCTCTCCCTGAGTGTTTACCCGAAATCCGAGCGCAAGCAAAGTGACAGTCCGACCGTGCGCCCTGCAAGGATCCGAATTCAAGGAGAAATGCTTCGTCATGCAGTGCCCTTGATTCGGCAATACCGGCGAAAGATTTCCGACTCAGAAGGCGGTCGCTGACAATAGCTTGCATATTCGGAAGCCTCCACTGCAATTGCGCCACCGTATCGCTGGCTCAATTCTCGTGAATCGAAGTCCACGGCTACGACCTTATGAGGCAGTGCAGTCAGCTGCATCCCCGAAAAAAGGCGCGCCGCAAAATCCGTCGTCTTCCAACGTGGGCTCTCGACTTATAACCTTTGCTGGCCCTTGCTGGTCTGCGTGCGTGATCTGCCTCATCCCCTGGGCTTGCAGGCTTCCACGGGGTGCCAGCTTTCAGTGCACCATACACTACACTCACTGCACGACGTATACATTCCAGAAGTCTGGCAACGGAGTTCCAGCCCTTGCGACCAGAGAGCCTTCGCGATGCGCTCGCGAACCCATGTGCTGCCTTGAGGGGCGCAGACTTTGCAGTCCGGGTAGCGTGCCTTGCATTCTGAGCAGCTTGATATCAGGCCGTGGAAAGGTCGGCTTTGGGAATTTCTTGGGAAGGGTCGAAGATAAGACTAGTAGGCAACCCGGCTTCGGAAGACGTACCGCAAGTAGGATTCCTCGTCAAACTGTGGCCGTGCCTTTGCAACAGAACCTGCTAGATGCAACGCTACTGCAACTTGAAACCAAAGACAGGTGGACAGCGTGCGCGACGTCAAGCTTTCTCGGCGCAGCAGTTCAACGAATCCGAAGCTACTATATGCGGTCACACTTGAAACGAAGGCTTCAGACACAGAGAGGATCACAGAGGTTTGCCGTTCTAGACTCTTCCAAAAAGAAGCGATCCGCAAAGCACCTTCCACACTGCGGCATCTTCGCGATGGTATGCATTCGGAACCACCAGAACTGCTGGCCGCCCCAGAGCCTCGACCTAAAGCTTGGACTTAGACATCGTCCTGACTGTAGTACACTACACTTTGGCTTCACGATGAGTCTTGTTAACTCTTGCTGCTGCTGCCGCTCGGCGTTCTGCTTTCTTCTCCTTTAGCCTTCAAGTGCTCCTGCTGCTGCAGCTACCACCACATGTGCTACAGTCGACCAGTTTAAAGGTCTAGGACCGGAGTGCTCACCTGAATGACTGAAACCGAGACCTTGATGCTGGGCATGGGTTATGTCCGGCCTGCTCCATCAAATGGGCCTCCAAGGCCACCGCCGAGAAAACCACCAACTCCCCAGAGCCTTCGGGTCGATAGACGGTCATGTTCCTCATCCTCAGATACGAGGGTCCCCCAGTGCTTACGGTGCTTACAGGCTTATCGACTCACGTTTCGGGTCAGTCCGTTTACTCGACCCGGGGTTTCGAGCACAAAAGCCTGAAAGGCGTCTGGACATCTCCCCTCTTCCTTGCTCAGCTAAAGACCCAAAGGCTACATGTCACAAAGCCATGTTTGCCTTGCCCTACCAAAACCCCAGGTCAAACCCCCAAATCCCCAAAAACTGTTTAACAAAGCTTCGGTGGGCCGGCGGAGGCACCCTTGGCGGAAACTTGCCACAAGCAGCCGGGAGATATCTCCTCATGGCAGGTTCTCGGGATTCGCCGGGCCTGCAAATCATCTCCATCTAGACACAGATTATGCGGCAACTTGGCAAAATGAGAGTAGATGTTCGGTACATGCACACGGCATGTTCGTTCAAACCTGTATGGGCTGCACGGCCTCGGGGTTTGTCAGGACTCATCGCGTTGTCACAAGGTGCCGAACTGAGGAGGTAAGTGTCGAGAGAACCTTCTGGAAACTGTAGGGAGCCCCGGTGAAGTTGACGATGTTAGTTGTGAGTGGATATCACCAAGCCTTTCAGTCGTGCATGAAGCCACAACGTGTTCCAAATATTGCCCGCTCCACGAGAAGCGAAGCCAAGATCCCACAAGTGAGTCCTGAAGCTGCAAGCTGAGAGAAACTGGGCCGAAGATCTCCGGTCTGGGTCGTTTCTCCGAGACTCCAAAACTCTTTGCATCTTCATACAACTCATACAACCCAAGAAGAGGGTTCACTATTCAGGCTGTAGGCTCCGTCCGTTTCTGTTCCTCCTCCTTACAGGTCCCGGAACCTCTCTATCTATCTCCGCGATAACAACAGCAATTGCAGTCCTGGCCATGATAGCACATAGCACTGGTAACAATACACATGAAGAACGTGATGACAAGAAAGGCAACAGCAGCAGCAGCATCGGCGACTTCCGCAGTGGCACGTAGCTGCAATGACGACGCAAACAAAAGCGACAATCGCAAAAACAGTATGTAGTGACGTAGTGGATACATGTGACCCCCTCGAATTTGAGGATCCCGAGCCTGGAGATCGCTCAGAGCCGACACCACATGTGAGTCCCAGGGCTCTTTGGCCTTTGCCGCTGCCTGCACCTCTTCGCCAAGTGTGATTTGGGTTCGGAGCTTGCTGTGCTCTCCACCCTGCTTTGCTTGGACATTCGGTCTTCTGCATGCGGTGGCTTGTGGCATACCGGCTGCGTGCTAAGCTAGCCAAGAAGCTGCTCTCAATTCTTGCCGTTTGCTGTTTTGAGAAGTGTAGGTTATCACCACGAGCGCTGCAAAACTTGGAACACTGCACCACTGCAGCACAGGTGCTCTCCCCAAACTCCACCTCTTTGCTCACTACAACTCAACGTAGCTCAGGGGAGTTGAGGAATGTTGAGGAGGTGTGTGGTCTGTGACGGCCGGAATGAAGGAACTGAAGCCACCTCAGCCTAGTCTGGTGCTGCCTTGTGTACCCTGAACTCTGAATGAAGTGAATTCGTCGCACTCCTGGCCGGACCTCCGCAGGAGGCTCAGGCTTGCGCGTGGCCGTGGCAAGAGCCACTGCCAGCATAGCCTTGGACCCAAAGTTCGGGTTTGTGTTGATTCAGCCGGAATCTTGAGCTGCGCAAATCGGGGTTCTCAGCCACTGGATTTGCGAATCAATGCAGGTTGCAGTGGAAACGAAAATTCAGTTGGCCCGCTGAAGCCAAAAGACTCCGAAGGTTATGCCTGAGCAAACTGGCCTGTTGCGATTGAACTGAACTGAGCAATCTGCGAAACGAGCAAGCGACCTTGGAGGCAAACGGTACTTTTTGGAGTTGGTCGCCCGGCTTTCGAGCCGGGCGACCTCCCCAAGAGTCTACAGCATGTTCCGCATGCGGCCCGGTTCCGGAATGCCTCTTTGCTGGCCGACACCTTTGAGCCAAACCGTGAGATGCCCAAGCGGCAGCAGCGCATCCGCTGCTGACAGGATGCTCCATCAGCAAGCCCAAGACGTTCATGCTGCAGCAGTAACTTCGGCTGTGGATGCCAAACTGTTGCCACGAAGCAGAACTGGACACGGCTACGCCTGCTCAACCGTAAAGGTTAATACTACCTGTGCTGTGGCAGGAAGTCCGGTTTCATAGTCCTGCTACGAATCACTTTCCTTCCATCTGGTGCAGGACAAGGCGTGGGCTCAGCGGTGGGAGTGAGGTGGGGGTGGGCTGAGACGGGCTTGGGCGGGGTGGGTTGGTGAGAGATATTTACATCTAGAATCTGCATGTACCTTGCAAGCTGGGTTTTCTCACATTTGGTTAAACACTCCTCTGGGTCATGTTGAGCATACTTGTGTAGGGTAGGCTACTTTGATGACACAAAGAAATAATGCCAAAGACGTTGCAAGAACCCTCTCGTCATCGGATACAGAGAACAAGCGAGAGAGAGAGAGAGAGAGAGGGAGAGAGAGAGAAAGAGAAGGTGAAGCACAGAACGAGACCGAGAAGACACACGACGAAACGTAGAGTCAGGAGAATCTGAGTCTGCGGCTGCGCACTTCTGTCAACAGCTGCTCTGAGCCAAACAAGTCACTTCTTTCATCAGCTCTGTTTGCGCTGCTCTCTCTTCGGAAGCCTGGTGCCCTCCAAAACGGGAAAACCACGGAGCAGATTGCCACGAGGTACAGGCACAGAAGCAGTTGTGGCGTAAGAGAAACTTGATGCAAGGCTGGGAAGGTGGCAGGCTGAGTGCTCCGTTGTGAAGAGAAGAGCTCAGGTGCCATACTTGCCGGTGCGGGACGGCCTGGCAGCCAAGTGCCACACAAACATCGCATCATGTGGCCGCTCATCGATCGCGCCTCATGCGATACTTGGCAATGACTCGGGTCTCGTAGTCGCTTCGTTGGTCCACCTGTTGCTGCGTTGCTAGTGATCCACATCGCAAACCAACTTATCGAGAAGAGCCTTGCTCGCGTCGTATTCCTCCTCGTTCCAGTCTGCCTGAGACTCATGCACAGAGTAGGCAGGCAGGCAGGCAGGCAGGTCGGTCGGCAGGTAGGTGGGTCGATCGGAGGTCGGTAGGCAAGAAGGAGGTTGGTGAGCAGGAAGGAAGGAAGGTAGGTAGGTAGCTGAAACCCGCCGTAAGCTGTAGCTCCGGTTGCACTGGGACCGCG